AAACGTGGGGTCGAAGACGTCGCGACGGCCGCGACGTGCTCTCGGGAAGGAAGAAGGCAAGGTCCGGCTTATCCCCGGAAAGTGCAACCGACGTCGATCCCGGAAAAAGAAGCTTAAAGTCATCGTTCCCCGGCGGCGTCGCGGCGCGGGCGTCGCGCTCCGACGGCTCGAATAAATTCCAGGCTCGTTCACGGAATGGCCTAGGAGTTCCTCGGAGTGCTCCTCCTCGAGGAAGGGAAAAGAGAATCGTCCCGTTGTCGGAAGAAAATCGCCAGGACTCTGGCGGCCATCCGGAATCCCCTTTCCGCGTCCCGAAAAGGCGGAAAGGACCTCCTCCTTTCCAAAATCGCAAAAATTAAGGTGAAATGAAATACGCCAATAAAGCACGGAAATTCTATCGACGTCGATAAAAAAAATTCCCTTAGAAAAAAAAATGTCTTATTCGAGTCGACTGATTTAAATTTGCGAGTTTCACTTCGCCTTAACCTCGGACGAGAAATTGATACTTCTTCGACGATTTCTAATCTCTGATATCGTCGTTTACGTCCGGGTAGATTTATTCGAACACCCGTTTCGTAAGAGAGAGTGTCGAATTAATTCGACCGTCGCGACGCATCCGTACGTTTTATTCGAGGAACTCTCGCGTTCGACGAGGAGGGACGCGCGACGTCGTTATTGCACTTGGACGCCCCGACGTCGCCGCGGGTTCCGGGGATCGCGATTTCCCGGAAGGATCCCTGCCGCAATCGGGTTATTACGTTTCGCCGCGCCCGCATAATCGCCGAGCCCTCCGTCGCGACGTCGGGATTCGCGAAATCGAGGAAGAGTCCCGGACGGCGTCCTCGCCGACTACGCGATTTCCGCCCGGCCGAGAGGGACCTGTTGCGTGAATCTCGAGCGCACCGATGCGTGCGTCTCCGTCGGACTCGTTAAAGCCGCCGTCGCGACGACTCGTGCCTTTCGAGTCGAGAGGCGCCCCCGAATCCGAGTCGCCGGGGTGCACTTTGCCCGCCCCTTCTAATGGACGCGCCGCGACGCTCGGGCGAAAATCGATTTCTACCGACTTCAAGGAAGAAATAATTCTCATACGATTTTCGGTGCCGCCCTGATAATACTTATTAAATTTTCCTACACGGCGAACGAAAAGAGAGCACGGAAAGATCGTCCCTTAACCCGCCACGAGTCAGAGGGAGATGCACTTAAGCGCACCTCCACCGGGGAAATGGACTTCCGCCCGTTTTCGGGCGAATTCAATTAATCGGCGCGACCTCCCGTCCGTGGGGGGGAATTGCCCCATCGGTTCATTAAAATTCGCCCCCGGTAGTTCGCGCGCGGTGCCTCTTGGAGGTGATCACTTTGCCGGTGCCTTTCCGTCCTCCGGCGAACGCCAACTTTGCTCGCCCAGTTTTAAACGACCTCTTTCCACCGGGGGCCTTCCCACCCCGAGACTTCAATCTAAACGGTACTTACACGCCCGCCCAAAGAAGGCGGGCAAAAAAAAAGGAAAGAAGAACCGAGGTAGCCACTTCCTTCACTCTCGGAAACCCTTAAATATGTAGAGGACCGAAAAGTCGGCGCTCCCTTCAGGACACGGCCGGTTAATAATAAATTCCAAGTTCTCCTGTCTTAGACTCGAGGAAAGCTCCGCGCTCTCCCCGTGGGAGGTCCCGGTCCCGAGATGGCTAATTTAACAAAAATATATTACCCCACCGGATTTCGCTTTCGTCCCGTTGGTACCCGCGATTACGTTTTCTGCGTCCAGCCGGCGCGACGTTCGCCTTCGCCAGGTGGTAAGCGCGTTTCTATTCCTTTTTGCTCCTCTCCCTATGGCCGATGCCTCGAGGCGCGATGGTCGACTCTCGTTCCCCCATCGATCGATCTCGCGTAGACGTTTCTCTCGTCGGGTTTGTCGACCGGGGAGCGAATCCCAATCGACCGCCTTTTCCAATACCTCGATGGCCCCCGAAGAGCGCGGAATTGATTTGCGGGACAAAAACTAGGTCGCTGCGAATTTGTCAACGTTGAAGACGTAACTTTTGCTCGTCCACGAAAGAGAGAACCTCCACTCGGAAGCGAGATTCGGCGAGTGTCGATCAATCGACGCGACGCGTCCGGTCGAGGGGACGCGTCCTCGACGCGCCCTCGACGCGTCTTGACGCGCGTCACTCGATCGCGCCGATCCGATCGATCGTCGAGCGCGAATCGACGCGTCCGTTAATTGAGAACACGGCAACTCCAATTATCCTCCTCTTTCCTCCATCCCGCCCGCCAGGAAATGCATTTAAACGCGTCTCCGACGAGCCCTTTAAACGCGCCAAAGGGAAAATACTCCCCCGACCCGTCGCCATTTTCGCCCTAATTATGAATTTCCTCCTCTCGAGCCGAACAATCGTAACTACGGTTACACGTGTTTGCTCGTCAAACAGCCACGCCGAGTTCCACGCGTAAGACTCCGCCGACGGTTCCTCCTCCTGAGAATTACCCTTACTCAGCTGGAATTTGACAAAACCAAGGCACGAGACGCATCCATAGGAAACCATGACGAATACGCGAAATTGGGAATAAATTCTGGGTCGGGGAAAAATTATACATTTTCACGTTTTGGTATATAAATGACGCATCCATGAGACTTTAAGGCGGTTCTTAAGTCGGGGAAAAAAAGGCGGATTTTTGCATCCTCCGAGTCGCACTTTCTCTTGTCGGTGTGCCCCGATTGGGCACCTCTGTCCACGCAATTCGCGACTAGGTCCGAGGAGGTTCGAGGAGGTCCGAGAAGGTCCGACCGTGCCTTTCCCCGCAGCGCTCGCTCGGCCATTAAAGTCGTTTCACCGTGAAACTCGAGTGGCTCATCGATTCTGAATAGCGGCGTAACAAGCGTTACAACGAGCTCGTTTCTCTGCCGTGTCCCTCTCTCTTTCTCTCTCCCGGTCCTCCATCTCACTCACGAGTCCGCGGCGCGATTAAGGACGTCGAATACGCGATCGGGAGGCCCCTGTCGTGCCGGCAGAAAATCAAAGTCGAATCGATATCAAATCCTAACGAAATGGGGCACCGCCGCTGGTTCGTCTTTGCCGATCGATCGGAATCGATTCCCCTCGGCGGGTCCGGCGATGATCTAGGACCTCGACTTCCCATTTTTTCTCGTTGATTAGAATTTCCCCGGTGATTCCGTCGTTAAGGACGACGTTGTCGGGAATGGACCGAGAGTCGAGTAATCGACTCCGGAGCGGCTCGGAGGGTCTCGAGGTAATTCGATTGGCAGGACATTCCGGGAACGCTTACGAGCATCCAGAGGGTGTCGAGTTTCGAAGGCGAGTCGGTAACTCGACCATGAAAAAGAGACACGCGGAAAAAAGAAGGGAAGCGGAGAGGGATAGGCCAGTCGAGATGGACGGCGTAAACGAACGAACGGACGGATGCAGTTTATTACTTTCCGGGACTTATAGCTCGTAAAGAGAATGCGCGTACAATGCTACAAGGTAGCCCGAGGAGAGAGAGGGGAGGCGCAAAAAAAATGGGAGCGCATCAAAGAACGCTTTAATGCGAATGAATGGATAAGGCGCGATCGGAAGAGAAGCTTCCCCGAGCCGGACGTTGGGAAATGCAAAAACCATCGACCGGACCCGACCGAGTGCACTTTCCGGGTTGAGATTTCGATCGCGAGACGATTTCGCCGAAGGTGGCGAAAAATCCCGGGATCGATTGGACGGACGGAACTTTCGCTCCTTGACTCGTCCCGATCCTTCCGCGAGAGACGAAAAAATGCCCGGAAGATAGAAATAACATAGGAACGAGTGATTCTTACAATTGAATCGGGAGGAAAAATGGCGGAACCGGGAACTCTGAAATCGTGGCGTCCGACGCGGAACCGTGCCTCTCGAGTCGGTATCGTTTTTTCTCTTCCTTTTCCTCTTTCCTGCCCGACGGGAAATCCAGCGAGGGATCGGAAAGGGCCGCTCAAAGAGGTCCGGGCTCGGTGTCCGCGGCCTTTGGAAGGTTTTCCGCGTCCGATTGCCTAACGAGCTTACGGTGCCCGCAACCGTACGGCTTCTGTCGTTGCAACGCGAACGGTAACCTACATACCGTGGTTTTCCTCTCGGTTTCCTGGCCGAGCGCCCCCACGACTAACACCGACCCCCGTGACATCCCCTGCTTTCTTTCTCCATTTCTTTCTGCCCCCGGGGCCATTTCGACCATTTCCCCCCAACGGGTAGAAATTTATATATTAATTTTAATACGAGAAATCTTAACATATTTTAATACCATAAAGTCAAAATATATATAAAACTTTCCATTATCACGTGATTATGGAGAACCTAGTGACGCTGTCGAAAGTCCCGAAATTTCGTATATATATATGACACGTTCGTAACACCGTAAGCCCACCGGCTCTTCCCTCACCTTGCGCGAACCCAGCTCGATCCACCCGAAGGACCCCTCGGCGCTTTCGGGAAATTAATTAAGGACGAGGTGTTCCTCCTTGGCAGCCCTCCAGCCCTTTCTTCTTCGGCCGAGGTAACGAGCCGGCCCTTTCCGTCCCGAGATCGCTCGCTCCGATCCGATCCAACTGCACTCGTTTCGTCGCTCCAAATCCGACGTGACGGAGACCGACGAGTGGACGTTGGTTTTCCGGTTCCCTGGCTCGCCCGGAATCACCTCGTCCGCCAACCGGCCCCGTAATCGAATGCTCGATAGAATTTGCCGGAGCTCCGGCGTCGGGCCAATATTTGTCGCGGGTCGCATCAAAGCGCGACTTGGCTCGGCTGGGTTAACCGATTTTCAAAGAGCCGGCCACCGGCGATCGGCCTTCGTTTCGGGATTATCGAGTCGAGAGAAGGCCTCTTCCCGTCCCCGATGGACAAAGGGACGTCGACCTTCGACCGTGCACCAAAATGGCGGCGCCGATCGATCGGCGCGTCTCCGCAAATTCTCATCGTTCCCCCCGTACAATTCTTCTGCGAAAAATGCAAATCCCGAATTATAAAAGTGCAGTGACTCACGATGCTTGACGTGCAGCCGTGGAATGGGGTCCTGGGGCCACGCGTCGGGACGCCCGAACAGGGCGACCAACGCCAGGATCCTCAGGGTGGCTCTCATCCTGGAAGGCAAAGTGGTCCCGGAGCTCGTCCTCGGGGATTAGCCGTAAAGCCCGTGGGACGCCATCCTGGCTCCTGGCACTCCTGCAAGGAAAGAAAAAAAAAGAACCTTTTAAACTTACTCTCCAGCGGCGATCTGGGATACATCGTGAACTTCTTTCAAAATCGTCAAATTCCCCGCAAGCTCCTCGGAGGTTTCGATCGCTTACCCGAATGTCGCGAAAAGAGAGACGGTTGATCCCTTATTTAAGGGCGCCTTCCAGGGGCGAGTGGCGCCGATTCAGGGAAAATAAAAAAAAAAACCTCATCCTTCCGAGGACTCCGAGGCTCAAAAGAACGGCCGCTGGGGGGCGACCTCCTCCGCCGCGGTTAACGAGGGGGGTCTTAAGGCCGACGGGGGGGTCCCTCGCCCCATGCATTATGCAGGACCGTCGTTTAGATTTTCCATTTGTCTTCCGCCATCTCGACGAAAGGACTTCTTTTCTCTCTCGAGCATAAAGCGGTCGACTAACTGCGGTTCCACGTGCGATCGTCCCTCTCGCTCACCCCAGGAGTCCCGTCCGTAATTAGCGTCGCGTTTCGGGATGCACCCCGAGTGCATCGAAATCGACCCTCGATGCATCGAAATCGGTGCGTATTCCCGAAACGCCCGGAATTTGCGTAATTAGCCGCGCACTTGGACCCTCGAGTTAGAGCAAAGGCCGATTCGGACATCCGTACAGAGTCCGTGACGCGTCCGTGATACATCCGCGCGGTGCAGGGTCGATGCTGCTCCAGATACGACAATGAGTAAAGCTGAAGTCACCGGACGCCCCCGCATGGCAGAGATAACCTCTTATCTAACTCGTGACTCCGTTTCTAACGACGTATCGCTCCCAATTGCACGTGAAGTCGCAAACTCGCGTAACGAGTGACGTCTCACTCGGCGCATTTAATTGCGCACCCTCGCCGGTGGTCCAAAATGCATCGTTAGGACGACAAAGATTCTGTACATTTTGTGATCTCACACTTCAAGTCTTTATACACATTTCGTAATTTTTATATCACTTGAGTGTAGTATATTGAAATTGCGTTTTGGACCACTGGGCGCGCAGGGGTAATCGCTCGTAAGAGCGGAACGGTTCGATATTGAATTTACTAACGTTAATATATCGAATCGGGCATCGCAAAGTTCCACGGATCGGAGGAGCGAGAAGCACGCTCGAGCCCTGCCACGCGGACCGTCCGATGGACAGTGATCGATTGATTGTAATTGCACGTGAAATTGTGACTCGGAGAAACTCGTGATATCCAGCTTGACGCGCTTAATTGACCTCCTCCGTCATTGGAAAACGTTCAAAGTTAAATTCACCGCCCCCAGGATCGATCCGCGTCCGGCCTGTGCAACGTAAATTTGGGCACGAATCTCGGAACGAATCGCAGAGATATTCCGAATCTCGTGATTGTTGTAATTTCTGCGATTCTTCGATTTTTAATTTTTGCATTTTCCTTGTATTTATTGCTGGACCGTAAATTCGGGGGTAACTAGGCTTTCGTCAATGTGTACGGGGAACAAATGAATTTCCAGGTCGGGACGAGAAACGACCGACGCCGCTTAATTATCGCAACAAATTCGGGACGAATTCGGCCGGACATCGTACGTATATTAGCGAGCATTCCGCACACCTCGTTAACGCGACAGGTCGTAAAGTTGTAACGCGCATCACGCATCGCGCGTGTACACGTGGAATTTTCCCTGCACTCGCGAATGCACTTTTCTACCCGATGCCGCGTTACGAGCGGAGCTCGCGAATTCGCCGAATGGCCAATCAGAATTCCGGGCGGGCCGAATTTCGTTTGCGCGAATCAAGAGAACGACGAGATTGCACGTCCCCCTCCTTGAAACCGGAGCAATTCCGAAAACGGCCAAAATTCGCCCCCCGAAGAATAAGACTCGACCTACACCCCGTCCCGAATTTTGTCTCTTTCCGTACATGTAATTACAAAAACAAAGAAACATAGCAAGTCGCGATCGCATCAGAGACCATTTTCGCGTTAAAAATGTCCATGTTCGCGACAAAAATGGAATTAAAAAAGCCACAAATATGGGCGGCGCAAACCCCTTTTTGGGGGATAAAACGACCCGATATTATTTTCCCCGGATTCCGGAAAATCGATACCCGATTAAAATTCCATTAACCGTCTGTATAAAAATCGCTCGTTCCCTGGGCTGCTAAATAATGAGCCACGCTAAAAGCCCTCGATTTTTCCACTCCGCAGGGTATATAACGACGAATCGTGAATTAAAAATTATGAAATTGTTAAATTGGGAAGGGACATCAAGTGGTTCGGGCTCGGGGGGAAAAATACCATGGCCGATATCTCTGGATGGAAAAATGGGAAACGGGGGAAAGGACGAGTTTTCCCTCGCCGCTCGCTTTTTCCAACGTCCGAGGTAAATTCGCGGTTTTGCGGGAGACTCCGTAAAATGCAGGGCGACTCGATATAAAGGGACGGGGAGGGGTATTAACGTCGCGACGTCGGGGAGGGCGTCGGTCGGAATAAAAAACTCGACTCGTTTCGATGAGCCGGAGAGCCCGGGCCGAGTTCTCTCGGATTTTATTATGTTTGCGCATTTCGCGTTATTGGTCGTCTCGCGTACCACGGCTTTTAACGTACGCGGCCGCTCGTAAAAGCAACCCCTGAAGTTGACCCGAAGCAAGTCGGGCTCTACTAACGTTCAACCGAAGTACAAATACCGCTTACCAAAGTAAACGCGCCAATTGCCAGCTAAAATGGTCACAGTCCAGCCGTGATCTCGAAAAAAAAAAATTAAATCCTCCCCATCGACTAGTCCCAGAAAGGCGGAATATCTTCCGAGGTCCAAAATCGATCCAGATCGAGACAATTCAAAGAATAATTATTGCCCCTCGAAAGGTGGCCACCGTCGATGAGGCCGACCTTGAATCGGCGTTCACGAACGAGATAAAAAAAAAAAGTCGGGCGATCGATCGGCCAATCGATCGACGAAGGCGAGGTCAAGTCGCTTTCGCGTAACCTCGCGTCGAGATTTCCTATCCCGGCGCTGTCACCGCTGACCCCGGAGTTTGCGAGACACGTAAACCGACTTTCTCTCGGGAATCCATTCCGCTCGGAAAAGGAAAGTTCGCGTTCACGGCATAGGTGGACAAAACCCCGTGCTTTTGCTGCGCGTAGATGTAAATTGAGAAGTGAAAAAAAGCTCACCGAGAAATTCCAGATACGAGAAGCTTGGGGGAAAAAAAAGTTTCGTAAACGCCAGGTATTCTGAATAAACGTTGCATCTAAATTATATCAGTTCGTTCGAGTCAGATAATTATTCCTTGAATTAACGAAAATATTTCTTCGATACCATTCGACGAAACTTTTCTTTTCTCAGGGTACCATTGACTCGGTGATCTTTTCCCCAGTTAAATACCGTCCGCGCCTCGCCGAGTCGAAGGCGCAGCGCGCCGGGCAAATTTATCGCGGCCGTAATAATAATTGAATGATTAAACGTCCGTGCTTTCTTTTTTTTTTCCCCTCCCCCCTCGCATGGGCGATATTTACGACACGTGAATCGCGGGCGTAGCGCAACGTATGACTCACGGTGCCTATGTAACGAGACTTGGCCGGTGATATATAGAAAGGTGGACAAAAATCCCCCACGTTACGGCCGAGTTTGCCACAATGGCGCGCCGTTAACTGGACCATAATTTAGCCGATTGCAGGGACTATAAACGTAAACGGGCCGATCGGGGCCTAGGGCATAAAACGCGATTAAATTGCAATCCGCGATCTTTCCGGTCGAGTCCGACCACTTGGCAAGGGTGCTTTTCCCAAGAAAGAGGGAAGAAGCGATCGATTGCCAGGCAAAAGATCGCCCTCGGGAATCCGTACATCAAGGACTACCGCCATCTCGAAGGCAAGGATTTTTCTAATCGCTCGGATATTATTCCCGCCGCGCCTCGATTTATCCGTTAATTGCTTCGAACGTTATCCAGGTTTCCAGTCCGAGAAATCGTGGAGTCGGGGTTTCCGCGGTCGGCCTACCCGCGAATTAAGCCATTTTTCCCCGATTTCGCGCACCATTTTATCGAATGCCCAGGCGAAAGTCGGCAATTTGGCGGAATACGAGGAGAGGGCGGGGGCGAGGCTCGTTAGGTAACCGCATGGCGATTATTGCGCGAGTTATTACGCGAGGGCGCCGACTCGCGAGCCGGAGTTCACACGGCGGTCTTGATAGAGAAACCCTGACGTCGGCCGCCGACGTACCAAAGTAGCCCGCCCGATGAATTATTCCAAAGACCGCCTAGGTGTTGCGAAGGAGCGAGAAAGTCGAAATAAAAAGGGAGGAGGAAACGAGAGGGAAGAAGAAACTGGCCGGGCAAAATTTCGCAAACTCGCCGCGAGGCCTTCTCAGGTGTCTCGTCGTCCGCTCGGGTTTCCGCGCGTCTTCGGCCCTCCGCTCGTTCCTTTTCTCCTCTCCCTCGTCTAAAGTGGAAAGAACCGCCAACGTCTTCTTGAACGAGACCTTGGCCCCGGGGAGACGATTAAAAATGGAGGAAACTATTCTTTCCACCCTCGAGTATATCCAATTTCCAACGTTCGACCCTCCTCGACTGCTAACCTCTTCCGACGTATGGGCGAAATTCGCGAGCTTGGGCAGACACCCGAGGAAATCATCGATTTTAACAATCGTAATCACGTGAGAATCGCAAATAGACATCAGCGTTTTTTTTTTTTAATACGACGCTTTAGAAACATTTATCACGCCGCCCTTAACGCGCGTACGCCATTACCGGTCAAAGGGTTAGAAAGTAACTCGAGAACACGTCGATTAGCGGGGAATAGGGTGCTCGTCCTTATCCCGGGTCGACGGGGAGGACGGATAAAAAGTGGACGAGAAAGACACGGTCCCGAAGCGAGGGGGCCAGGGGGAGAAGGGGAGCCTTTCGGAGGGTGAGGGACGTTTAAGCTCGGACTTGGTGATGAATATTCAAGTCGGATAAGTGCGGTCAAGCCGAGCTTCTCCCGAAGCACCTCTCGACCGCTGCGAGGTCGACGATGAGGTCGACCGTCGAATC